AAATAATAAAAATAATAAAAAAGGAATGTTTCAATTTGGTTTATCCTTTTTTTTTTTTAAGTTTTTCCAATTAATTTAAGTTTTTCCAATTAAGACTCAAACATAATGAATAAGTTGAATTAAAACCCCCCTAATGTTAAAATATGCAACCATGTTTAAACGGAGGATTGTGAGGTACGCGTATACCCTTTTTCACTCCTAATCGAACCCTTGAACCTCGAACTCTGCACAAACCCACTTTAGATGACTTGTCCTATCTTATAATTTGGACGAATGGCAACTCCCTCTTTTTTATATTTTTACACTTAATTTTTCATTATTTTGAAATTTTAAGTGGTCAGCAACACTTAGGTTTTAAATCACTTTTATTTTCACTTTCTATGTGCAACTGGATTGTGTTGGGTTTAATTTTTATGTGGAATTTGATTTCTATGCAATTTTTGAAAAAAAAAAATAATAGTAATAATAAGGAACTTCATGGGTTTTGTAAATTTTAAACCCCTTGGTGGGGTTTGTGTTGATTCATGTGTCTTGTTTTCTTGAATCAACATATCTAGACATCTTATACTATAAACTAACCGGCCTCTGTTTTCTCAACTTAATGTTGACTTCACAGCCTTTGAAGCTTGATTGTATTTTTTGTATCTTTTCATTTGAATTTGATTTCATTGCTAACATAATCTCTATTCACTTGCATTTTTTTAGGTGGTTTTTGGGAATTTTGGTCCATACCTATTCCAATTCCTCTGTCTTCTATTCCACTTTTTTAATGGAGGCAATTTCTTTTTGTCATTGTTTTCACAACCAATGTTGTTTTAATTTCTACCCAATGCAACTTTTTAACAATATATGCTTTATTTATAGAAAATACAAACAAAAGTTAAATCTCCCCAAATTGAAAGAAATCAAATGGACAAACATGAAAAATTAGAAGAAAGTTCAAATCCTAATTTAGCAACTTCATGTGCTAGTATGTCTTTTAACTCTAAACAGGAGCTCTATGGTTTTTTAAAAAATTATGCTAAACAAAGAGGATTTGGAATAAGCAAGAAAAGTGTGAAAAAGGAAGATGATGGCCAAAAAAGATATTATTCACTTACCTGTAATAAATATGGTAAGAGGAGAACAGTTGCAACAAGCTGCATTTTCAATTCTAGACCATCCATTAAGACTGGATGCAAGGCTAAGATTAATGTGAGGGTCAATAATGAAGGAACTTTCACTATCTTTGGAGTTAGCTTGGAGCATAACTATGCACTTAGCCCAAATAAATCGAGGTTCTTTAGATGCAATAAGGCAATGGACTCACATGTGAAGAAAAGGCTTGAAGTGAATGATGAAGTTGGAATTTCATTAAGTAAAAATTTTCATTGAGTAGTTGTTGAAGCTGAAGGATATGATAACTTGCCATTTATTGAGAAAGATTGCAGAAATTACATTGCCAAAGCAAGGCAATTTAGGCTTGGGGTTGGTGATGCAAAGGCCCTTTGTGATTATTTTTTTTGCATGCAAAGAAGAAATTCAAATTTTTTTCATGTGATTGATATGGATGAAGAGGTCACTTGAGAAATGTGTTCTGGGTTGATGCAAGGTCTATAGTAGCATATGAATCATTCAATGATGTTATATCATTTGACGCCACATACCTAACTAATAAATATGACATGCCATTTGCATCTTTTGTTGGTGTGAACCATTATTGACAAACCATTCTACTTGGATGTGGGTTACTATCAAATGAGGATATAGACACCTATATTTGGTTGTTTACACTACAAGCAAAATGCACTATACCAATGGAAGTCTATACCAACGGACAGAAAATCCGTCTGTATAAATCATATATACCAACGAAAAACTTAAGCCGTTAGTATACACAAGTCTATACCAAAAAAAAAATATATATCCGTTAGTATAGGCTTGGTTTATACAAACAGTTTAGTAATTATCCGTTTGTATACAATATATCTATTCCAACGGCAATTATTATGTGTTTGTATAAATATATTTCTACAGACAGATTAGTGTTTTGTCTGTATAACTCCCTATTTCTGAAACACTTTATTTTTTCCTTTTAATTTCAACTTGCCTTATTTTTACTTCCCATCGCAAATTCCCCAATTTCCCTCCCTAATTTCTAAGCTTTCCTCCCCAGTAGACCCAAGTAATGTGGACAAGCCACAAGCATCAACTCTCTAATTTTCGAGCTTCATTTCTACTAAAACTCATACTCTCCTCCACAAATTCCCCATTTTCCCTCCTAATTTCTGAGCTTCCCTCCTCGCAAATCTCCAAAATTTGTAATTGATTTTGCTAAAACTCAAAACCTATTTGAACCCAGTTGCAAATTTGTTTCCTCCACTCTAATCCATCAACGACAGAGGATTTCTCGCAACTGACTGCAGCCCTGCTTGCTCTCTCCTCTCTGTCAACCATGGTAC